CTATCAATATGTTTTTGATCGGGCCTTTGGAAAATGATTTAAGAAATCCTTTTTCTTCCTTTATGGACACATTTGACTTTAGGTAAACGTTCTGGATTTGTTTCCCTGGAAACGTGATAAAGGTGGAATGTCGGTTACGTTAACAGGCAACAGTTCTCATGATAAAAACGTCCCCTGAAATACATTGCGTCGGGTCTGGAAGAAATTACAAATGAACTGTGCCTCCCCTGTGGGCTTCTCTGCACAAAGGCTCTATGTCTGTGGGGCATGCACCAAAAGTTACCTCCATCCATCGTGCACCACCTGTTATTTGTTGGAGTTCGGCTGCCTTCCGCTAGAGGGCAGGACTTCCATCTGCTTCCACCACTGCTTAGAACACAGTTGGTACCCAGTGAATGTTGAATGAGCAGATGGATGAATGAATGAATGAATGAATGAATGAATGAATGAATGAATGAATGAATGATAGGCAGCCAAAAGTCCAGGAAGAGATGGAAATGAAAAGAAAAAGACTATTGATTTTGGTAATGAGGTTACTGATGATTTTAATGAGCACAGTTTCAGAAGCCATGTCTGAGTGGACAAAGGGCTCCCTGGGAGATTCTCCAAAGCTGGGAGAGCAGGGAGGAAGTTGGGTAATAAGAAAAAAAACTGAGAGAGGATATACTGCTGTACTGAAATCGACTGACTTAAACTGAACAGAAATTGCATTTCTAAGTAGGTAAAAATTGCACAAATTTTGGCTGACATGAATGAGTATTGTCTTTATAGGTTGACATGTCTGTCTTCCCTGTATGTCCTAAGGCCCTGGAAGGCAGGGACGGTGTATTTTTTCATCTTCTCATTTCTGGCCTGCCAGAGTGCCTGGAATATTGTATATTCACAGGAAAAGAACTTTAGTTATTTGGAATGTTCTAGGGAGAGGACCAGCATGCACAGAACCCTGGTGGTGGGAAGGAATAAAGTGTGTTCAGAGACCTGAAAGTAGTTCAGTGGGTTCCCATGTAAACCATGCAGGAGACTTGCCTCTGGTATTCAAGAAGCATTTTCCCCAAGCTTAAAGATCATCTTTTTTATCTTTATATGCTTTTGTTTGAGGTTTATGATCCATAACCTCATACTTCTATAGTACAGGAAAGTGGTGATCATTTTAGGAAGATTGAAGATGAAAATCTGGTTCAGGAATTTGGGAAGAAAATAATTGCAGGCTTTGGAAGAAATGAATAACCCTGTTGGATGAGCATATAAAGGACCACTTCTGGGACTCATAGTAAAAGAACATATTTTAAGCTCTAGGGTAAAAAAAAGTTATCTCCTACAGTTGTAAAGTAATCCAACTGTTTTGAAAGAGGATCTGACAAGATATGTATGGATATTTAAAATATGCTCACCTCCATTTTTAAAATTGAAGCCTAACATACCTGCAATAAAGTGCGCACATTTTAAGGCCACAGCTTGATAGTTTTAAGGGACTCACCTATGAGCCCTTCATCTAGATGAAGATACAGAACATTCCCAGCACCCTAAAAGGCTGCCTTGTCCACTCTCCCAGTTGATAACCACCCCCTTCCGAAGCCAACCACTACTCTGACACCTGTTGCCATAGATTAGCACTGCCAATTCTTGTAATCAGTGTGTATTCTTTTTTTCTGACTTCTTTTACTCAGTGTTGTCTGAGATTTATCTATGTCGTTACATGTAGCAATGGTTCATTCTTTCATTGAATGTATCCCTTTGCATGAATACACTAAAACTTATCTAGGCCTTCTATAGTTAATGGATATTTGAGTTGTTTCCAATTGGGACTATTATGAACTGCTGTATGAACTTTTTTTTTTTTCATGTACTTTAGTGGATACTTCTACGAAAACATTTTACCCCAAGAAAATTATCCCAAGGCAAAGGTACAAAGATGCAAGTATATTGTAGCATATTTATAACAGTGAAATATTAGAAAGCCTAAATACTCATGAAAGGAAATTATTTAAGTAAATTCCATCCATACATAGTAACCTTTTATAGTCATTTAAATGGATAAAGTAAATCTACATAGAAACTTGCCCATGATGTATTATTATCAAGTGAAACAAAGCAGGATTATAAAATATATCTAGAATGATCACATTTATGTAAAAATGTATACATGTATTTTAATATTTTAACATATATATTCTACAGGTATTAAACAGTAAATTGTTAAGTATATTTTTCTCTAGGGAATGGTTAGATTAAGAAGAGACTTTCATTTTTAACTTGTAATAATAATGTGTTACCTGTTTTGAAGAAAAGAAACGAAGAGGGCAACATTCATATTTTGAGGAATGAATAAGAACAGGATTCTGAGATGCTAAGGGCAGGCTTCTGAATGTCAGGAGAAAATTTTCAAGAGCCCATGACACACAGAGCTTTGGGGGTAGGGGGGGACATGGACCAGGAGGCCCTGCTGACTCAATTGCTATTTATTGCACTGAAGGCTCAATATTTCGCTAAATTCACCTATAGAAAATTTCTGTTTGTTCATGTTTTAAAAATAATTTTTACTTATTTAAAAAGCAAATATCACACCTTAGCAAAAGGAAGAGAATTTCTTAACTCTTCAATGAGGTGCTTAACTCATTAAGCCTTTTGCTGGTAGAATTAGCTCTAGGACTAATTTCAGAAAGTCTTTTGAAATTATTAATAATAATTTAAGGAAATATTTATTATAAAAATTAATAATGCTAATTATAAAGACTAAAACTATACAGAAAGTTTAAAGATTCAACTCTGTTGTCTACAAGACCCAACTATATGCTGTCTATATCATATTTAATACTAGTTGTCACTAAGTGATAAAATTTAGGTGATTTTAATCAAATGTCTCCCTTTTACTCATTTGTACTCATAACTTTTGTAGTTCTCATTTTTGATGATAATAGTTTTTAAAAACTTTTCAGTTGTGCCTAGCTCATGATAAATCTGCAGTAAATATTTGTTAAAGATTGACTATTTGAGGAAAGCAGTACAAAAAACATCTTATAATTGCCATTCAGAGGTAAGACTTAATACCCTTGTATAGAATTTTCCAGGTTTTATTTATTAAAAAATTCATATAAAATAGTTTTTCGAAGATGGGATTTTTGTAACCTCTTCCTCTTTTCGTATCTTTTCTTTTCCCATCTTTCTTTCTCCCTGACTCTCCCATTAAAATTATAGAGACGATTAGCTACCAGCTGGCTCAGAAATGCATGTCAGCCACAAAGTGACCCCTCTACTAGGGTCTGAAATATCAAAAATCCTGTGAATCGATTCAAGAGAGATTTCCAGGCAGCTTCACTAAGGGTACGGCCTTTTGGAAAGTGAGTCATTGCCCCTCTGTGCTGGACACTGCAAAACTCTGCATTTTCTCTTGCAGGCATTTTCAGCTTATTACTATGTGATGAAGTTTTTAAATGTCACATCACAGGAACCCCACTCTCTGAAACAGATGACTGACATGATGGAAGAGTTCTGCTCTCGGTCTTGGGAAGAGGTAAGACTAGAAACAGCAGCTGTTACTGTTGTTCTGTGCCCTTGACAGCATGGAGGAGGTGAGTCTTGCCCTTCAAGTCGTGCTGATTTGACCAAGATACAGCAAACATGTTAGGGAAGCCCAAGGGGGCACTCAGAAATGAGTTCATTGGCATTTCTTGATGACTTGGCTTTCAATGGCTTCAAAAAAAAGGTCTAGTTTTCCTCACCTGACGGGAAGTCTGGCAGCAGGCAGCTGCTGGCATGGGGTCAGCGGCTTGACTCTCTCAGCCATTACTTCTTCCGTTCTGTTGTTGTGCCTATTTTCTGATGGACACAAGACCTAGCTTCAGGGTTCACAGCTATGTTCAAGGTCAGAAGAAAGGTGGAGCCAGACACATCCATTCCTTTTTACAGGAAAGCAAAAACTATCCCAGAAGCTCCTTAGCAGTTTCTCTTATATCTCATTGGCCAGGACTGGCTGGGAGAACAGGGTGCAGGATTTTATGACTGGCTTAGAGCCTTAGATCCATCATGAGCTGCTTTTTGGAGCCGGGCACCTTGTCACCCACTCCCCTACCCAAACACCAAAATCAGTTTTATTAACAAGAAAGAGGGGCAATTCACAGAACCTGCCACAGATACCACTGCCCGGGTCCAAGATATCTCCTACTTATTCATAAATCTGAAGTACAAACTTTTTCTTGTCTGAGGCACTGAGTCATTCAAGATTTGGCACTATTTGCTGAAAGTTTCCGGGAAGAAGAGAGCTATGGGGTCTACTATGATTAAAAAAAAAAAAGAAAAAAAAGGTAGATAGAGGGGTTTGCTGTTTTAAAACAGCAAAACAGCAGCTGTTTTAAGTTGACACAGTTGCAAAAGGGAATGGTGCTTTCATTCTGAAAAAATGCAATTAATTAAAAATGGATGCTATTCTCATCTGCACTGACAAACGGGGAAGGAAGGTTGTGCAAGAGCCTGGAGGTTTGGAATTCTCCCTAAGTATTTAGTCTGAGTTAAAAAAAGAAAGGGTATTCAGGACTTTTTGAAAGACCTGCTCAAATATGCCCCAGCACCTTATGGTTCACAAAACAGTCAGGGGAGGCATTTTGCTGTTGGTGGTGGTCCGTGGAGGAAGATGAACACCTTGGAGTCGAGGAAATTTGACATCAGGCTGCCAAGAAAGTAGATTTAAGCTGCTCTTTGAAAAAATTATTTCTTATTCCGAGTGAAAGCTTTGTCAGGTTTTTCTTTCCTTACTCTCATCTACTGTTTATTTCCTCAGATTACATTAGGCTGGGAATCTTACAGTAAGCAGGCCTGTAGGTCTGCTCAGATAAGTCACATGAGGAATTGCTTAGAGGCTGAGACCCTGGAAGAAAGCTCAGAAAGGCCGGTATTTGGGAGAAATTCTGAAACATTTGGTGAGGGAGGGATGTGGGAATACAGGATAGATGGAGATGGAGTTGCCCATGGGTGAGACCCAGACCCTCACCCAGAGCCTAGAATGTTGAGATGGGTGTCATAACCCAGTGCTTTTTCTAACTGCGTTGCCCATCTGTATGGAAAGCATAGTTTTTTGTATGTCAGAGATTCTGTTACAGGGTAACTCTTTTCTTCTTTGCCTTCTAACTTCAACTTGAGGAAGGACCACTACCCCAGTGTGACTTTAGTTTGGGAATGTTCCTTCTATACAGCTCTGGCAGACAGAGAACTAACAATTGTTAAGCATATATTATGTGCTGAAAAGTGGGCTAGGTGCTCTATACATACTATAATAATGCTGTCTGGCCTTGTTTTGGCAGGGGAAGTAAAATGCAAAGGAGAGCAAACCATTGCTCCATTTGGAGAGCACATAGTATTGAGTCCACAAGCATTAACATGACCAATTCTGGGATGTAAAAGGTGAAGGGAATTAAGAAATACAACCTGTCTTAATGTAAAGTTCAGCACAGGTGATATAATCAATAATAATGTATGGTGTCACATGGGTGCTAGACTTGTTGGGGTGATCACTTTGTAAATTACATAAATGTATAATCACTATGTTGTACACCTGAAAAATATTTTATGTCAATTTTAACATTAAAAAGAATCCACGCATGATCAATTCTGGATGAACCAGGTAGTCGCCTTTGGCTTCAATATTGCTGGCTAGTACCATAATTAATCCTCAGCAAGTTAGACTGCATAGCCAATGTACGGTTTCCCAGAACGAGGAGGGGGATGGGAATGTTAAAGAATTCAGGGAAATTAGGCCAAAATGACATTCCCCCAAGGGATGGGCAAGGCAAGCCTTCAAGAACCTATCAGGTTGCAACAGTGGATTCTGGGAATTCTGTATCCCACGGGGGTTTTTTGACAGGCCTGCCAAGACTATATCAAATGGGAGAAGAGGTATTTTGACAGAAGAAAAGTATAGTGTAGAAAGAAAGGGGTAGGGACCTGGACAGGCAAAGTCAATTGATGTCACACCAAGGTCTCAGGAGAACGTCATATGCAGAGGAGTTGATCAAAGAGTAATTTCAAGACCCGTAATAAAAAGGTTACAAGCTTGGTCACTTGAAGAATTCCATCAGATCAGGACAAGGCTGTCATGGAACTAGGTGTGGAATTTTTATTTTCCAGGGGTTGAGGGCTGGCAAGAGCCAAGTGAGAAACAGACTCCAGCCAGCAGTTAGGGCTTAGACATGGGATGTTCCTTGTGAAGGGAGAGAAATCTGAGCAAAAGCAGGGCAGGCAGGCAGCCAGGAGGTCCTACTTATAAAACTTCTGGCATAATTATTAGGATGTGCTTAACAAATGTTAGTTCTCTCTTCCTAGGGCTTGCAGGATGGAAGCCTAGCTGAGGGGCTGGGGAGCAGGGCAGAACTCAAGCTGAGCGAGGCCATAGAGGGGAGAAAGGGAGGGGAGCAAGCCGTGGGCATCTGGGTGTAAGCTCACAACAGCTAGGCAAGGTAACGGCCAGGGTTGGCAGGCAGTGCTAATAGCTTCCTCCAGGAGCTGGGTGAGTAAACACATGAAGGGCTCAACCCCTTTGCGTAACTCAGATGCAAAAAAAAGAGGTCAGGTGAGGACAGAGGACAGGTGAGATGCTGGCACTTGCAGCGATCCTGAATAACATGCTTCCTAAACTGCGTTCCAAAGCTTTCAGACTTTACCATGTGCGTGACCACATTCTGTGTTGGCCGTTCTCGCTGAGGATCAACAAGCTCACGGGAAGCTGATGCTGCTGGTCCAGAGATTAAACTGAGTGGCTCCTTGTGACACTATTTCTTTAAGATGCTTATGGAGGCCCTGAATCAGAGTCTGGTCAAGAGTGTCTAGAAAACTCAGATTAAACAAAGATTAATGGATTCCTTTCATGCAGTATTTTTCACACCTTTAATATGCTAATCTGATTGCAAACCTCAAGTTTTACAAGGGATGAAAGTGTTTCTGACCCACTAGACATAAGTGACTTTTTCCCTGGAGTACTTATTACAGAGGAAAAGTCCCCTAAGCAGACCCTAAACTACAAACCCCTGCACCCACTGAAGGAGCGCAGCACTGTTCCCAAAGCCCTCTGGAGAGGCCAGCTTTCGGGTCTGCATGAGCTGGGGCTTTTCCTCTCTTGATCAACTGGAAAAGAGCTTGGAGAGGTGCCTGTTGTACAAGTGTGATATTTCCTCCCCTTCACTTCTAGCTGAAGGAACATTTTGGTAACGTGAAGGAGAAGTACCTGAGTGAATACTGCTTTGCTGGAACCTACATTGTCGCTCTCCTTCAGAGCGGCTATCATTTCACGCCTGATTCCTGGGAGAAAATTCATTTCATGGACACGGTAATTTGGGAACTTGCTGGATTGGGGGAAGATTGGGTTGTTGTGACTGAAGCAGCTTTGGGCTTGAAAGAAGTAGGAGTCAACCTTCTTTTAGGTTTTGGCCTGAAGTCCTGTTCTACACTTCACCTCTAACCCACGCTGGCATTTTGTGCCAAACCCTCCTGGGTTTGTGGACCAGCCAGTTGTGGATATCCTATCTAAGGAGAGCCACCTGCACTTTTGGCTCTCCTTTCTGCTTACATAACAGTGACAAATTCCTTATAAAACAAAAAAGGGAGATATTAAAGTAACAATTTTAGTAGCCACGGTGATTCTGTGTGCGGACCTCAGCATCCATCCTCAAGGCCCCTTCCATGAATCTGGAAACGATGATCATGGTTTCTCATAAGGGGTGAAGGCTCTGTTGTCTGTAGCTTCAAGGTTGACCAATCTGAAAACTCAGCGTGAAGAAGGGGATGAGTGGCTGTGAATGGAGGTTTTTGCTTAGAAGCCAGGCTTAGTGTGAGCTTTGAAGAAAAAAGAAAGAAAAAGCAGCAGCAGCATCACTGCTGTGCTTTACCATAGCGCCACCTGCAGGTACCCAGGCACAGAGAAACATTTACATCCCCTGCATGGCTCCTGGGTGACTCATGTTTGAAAAATATCAACAGTATTTCTCTGCTTATGCCCATATTCAGTAATGGCAAAACAACTTACCCCCTTTATTAAATACAAAACAAAACATTGAGGCAGAGGACTGGAGCAGCCTTGAGGATACTAGTTTCATTACACTCTTGCCAAGACTGACCTTGCTAATTCAAATGCAAAATCTTCCCTCATTCTAATATCCCAGGCTTTCTTCCATTCCATCAGTTTATTTTGTCTGTTTGAGAGATGTGTCTATGTCAAATTTACAAGTGATTTATATTCTCTGAACTCCAATGAATGAGCCAGTACTTCTAAACCCTAAGTGATACCTCTAACTCTGGAGTCTTCCTTGACACACACATTTCCCCATAAGGGGAAATGGGCTTTTCACAAATTATGAATTCCCAGTATTGGTTAGGGGTTCAGAGAAAGGTACATTTCCACACGATATTGCCTGGAATATAAATTGGCATGACCTGCCTTGGCTGGTTTGGCTCAGTGGTTAGAGTGTCGGCCTGAGGTCCAAAGGATCATGGGTTTGATTCCTGGTCAAGGGCATGTACCTCGGTTGCAGGCCCAATCCCTGCCTCAATTGGGGAGCATGCAGGAGGCAATCAGTCGATGTGGATGTGTCTCTCTCACATTGATGTTTCTCTCTCACACCCCGTCCTTCCTCCCCTCTACTCTCTCTAAGGAAAGTCAATGGGAAAAATATCCTCGGGTGAGGATTACCTAAATCAATCAATCAATCAATCAATCAATCAATCAATCAGCACAACCTTTGGGGAGACTGTATTGGCAATATGTGTTAAGAGCCCTAAAATATGCACCTTATTTTATACAATTACTCCACTTCTAGGATTTATTAAGTAATGGATAAAGTGAGTAAAAATGAACATATAGGGCAGTTCATGCCAGTGATGATGTTACAGAAATTCCTTGAGACACAAGATGATTTTACAAGGTATTGTTAAGTGAGTAATTCTACATACAACTTAATTCCATTTTTTGGTAAGAAAAAAACCTCACAGAGAGGACTGGAAGAATGTGTCACAAAATGATAATAGCAGCAACTTCTGAGTGGTGGATAGGTGGTTTTTATTCTTTTTAGGGTTATCCATACTTTCTAACTTTTCCACCATGACTGTGCACAACTCGTGTAATAAAAACATTTCCAAAATTACTTATTATTCATAGACTACTTGTATTCCAATAAGTTTTGAGGCAACTGGAAAATGTTCCTAGGAAGATGGCAGGGTCAGAGCATGTTTTGTCATTTAATAAAAATCCTTTCTCACGCATATGCAGTCTTCCAACTTTTGTAAAGACTGACTTGCTGGGATTATTCCCCATTTTTCCCTAGTTGAATAATAAAGTCTGGGTTTTATATGGGTGAAATTCCTGGTCCAGACACAGATGTAAAAGGCCAGGGACAATCATTCTTCTCTTACCTTCTGCCTGCCTTCTGTCACCTCCCACCTCCCTTTCCCACCCTGGACCCGACATTCACACATATAACAAAAGAATATAAATCTCCAAAGGCCTATTTAAATTCTTCTATTTAAGTTCTGCAGGAGAATAGGGCACGCTGTCATTAAGGTCCTCTCTGAATTTTGGAATATAGTAGTTAGGCTCCAAACTATCCTTCTTCATCACTTGCCCCTGCTCCATTCCCCCTACAACCAAATTCCCAGTTTAGAACGTAGAAGCAATCCCTGTAGAGAGCCAAATGTGGTGCTCTCCCCCTTCTGTTGCTCAGCGTTATGGGTGGGGTTGCATGAAAGCTCCCTTAATCCTCAGACCAGAATCAACAGATTTTCCTCACTGTTCGCAGATCCGGAATGCTGATGTGGGATGGACTTTGGGCTACATGCTGAACCTGACCAACATGATCCCAGCTGAGCAGCCGATGTCCACACCTCTCCCCCATTCCACCTATGTCTCCCTCATGGTCCTCTTCTCCCTGATCCTGGTCGCGCTGATGATCTTAGCCTTGATTATCTTTCACAATCCTTCATATTTCCGGAAAGACTTGGTATAGCACGAGCAGCTGAAATCTGCTGGCTGGAGTGAGGAAAAAACTTGTCCAGGGAGCACTTTCCTTTACAGTAGTGTACAAGGTCATCTTCCTTGCTCACCAAGGCCAGTCTTGACCTGTATGAAGCTTCCTTGGCTTTGCTGAAGTCTTTCCTTGGAAAGTATTCACCACCTTCTGCCTCAAGAACTTCCTCGGCAGATGCTGTCTCTTGTGTCCCACTCTGACCCTTTCTTTTTTGTACTCTGTGCTCCTGTTGGTCTTAAAAACCTGCCATCTTTCATGATCTTTGCTTTAGAAAAGAACAATATTGGCTTTGTCCAGAAGAACAGAATCCTGACTCCTACGCTGGGAGGTTGTGCTGGCTAAAAGGAGAATCTCAGCTGTATTCTTACAGACCCTTTCTCGTTTCCCATTTATTAAAGCCATACAATGCCTTTGGAGAGGGCAGACACATATCCCGTTTCCAGCCTGCCCTTGGCAGAGAATTTTCTAGACTGGGCAAATATGTCCTAGGACCAAAGAGTCTTGCAAGGGAATTTATATGCTTGTGCAGTTAATACAATACTCAATCCAATGTAAAACAGTACTGTGGATAAGTCACATATTCCTGGGTAATGCCAAAATGCTACAGAGTGGAACACCCAGGCCAGAGATTTTTAAAAAGCTGATGTACATATAGGCATTCAGATATCAGGGCATATACTACATGGTAGGTGTATACATATCAGGAAGAAAAACATAGTTACAATGCAGGGTTGGAAAAAGCATCCTCCACTGAATTTACTGGGGTTTTGTTTTTATTATAGTAAAATACATATAACATAAAATTCACCATTTTAACAGGTACAGTTCAATGGCCTGCATTCACAATGTTGTGCAACCGGCACCACTACCTAACTCCAGAATGTTTTCATCACCAAGAAATTGGCTGGAGACAAGACCATTCCTGGGTAGACTCAAACCACCAACCTTTCAAATAATAGGCAAATATGTAACTAACTGCATCGCATGGATGCTACTGGGTTTCAAAACCATGCCATATCTTGTCCCAGGGTTTACTTTAGTGAGAGAGTTGCATTAGTGTAGTGTGACATGCCTTTTCCCTGTCATGGTATTTACACATCAAAATGTGCCAGGAACCAGATCTGAAAGTGATGCCACTCCTGTCACACAGGTATGTGTTCTGTTTACTTATTCCATGGAGTATTTTGTGGGAGAAGAGGCAGCTATGGACCTTGTCACGGAAATATGAAGAGGCCCGTACCTCCTTTCTTTAATGACTGCTCTGAGAGTTACCTTTTGAGCAGGATGGAGTGGTGAAGTGTTACTCTGACCTTGCCCCAGGCTCTCCATTTATGGCTCTGGGAAATGACTGTTGAGCTGATGTGGTGCAGGGTGGAGGGGAGGAGGAAAAGCTCTGCACAAACTAGAAGCCAAATATCCCTACATCTCTTGAGTAATCAAGTCATTTTTGACAACATGCAGGTGAATATAAGTGTAATAAAGCTGTGGTGTGTGACAGGAACATTTTCTTTCCTGACACCCACAGCTGAACTTGTTGTACCTTGACCAGGAATGAGAAGCCAAACTGGACATGTTTAACCTCTTTCTAGTTGTAGTTAGCTATACTGTTATAGCTAGTATTTACTGAGCATTTGTTGTGTACTATGCTCTGTGCCCAAGTGCATTACATTCGTTTTCTCATTTAATGATCACAGTAATCTGAAGGTAGGTACTACCGTTCCACTTCATAGAAACAGCGAGGCTCAGAGAAGTTAAGTCACTTGCTCAAATGGCTGAGCTAAAGCCTGGCATGCACTTAACCATTATTTTCTCTCCCAAATATACTACTAGATGGTCTCCTTGTAACTTCAAAGCATGCACTTAACTCTGCATGAGTACAGGGCTTATTGGCATGGTGGAAAGGGAAGTAGACAGATGAACTGTTTCCTGATGGACTGGGCATTTAATGTTGCTTTAAGTCCACAAAGGCTGCCATGGCAACACTGATACTGTTTATGTACTTTGTGTACATATGTGACATATGATGCTTATCAATGATTCCCATACTCCTGGTTTCTTAATTATACTGCTTGCTCACTGCAAAGCAGTCAGAATCAAATAAATAGTTGATGATAATAATGAAAATAAAAGGCCATAAAAATAGAGCCAATAGCAGTTCTTTTCTTCCTTATGTCTGAATATACAAAGCACTGAATATTGACCAGACACATGATCAATTCTGGTCCTACAAAAACCCACAATGGTGTTAAGTATTATTTCTATTTTACAAAAAAGGGTCACACAGACTAGTACATGGCAGAGCTGATACTCAAACTCATGTCTCTGCTCCAAGTTTATTGCTTTTTCTTTTCTAAACACTGCCCCTCAGCAAGTTGGAGTTAGAAGTCACAAATTTCCCTCTGTAAGCACTGACATCTTTTCTTATTCCATTTCTGTCTTATTGCCTGGATCAGAGAAAAAAAATTTTAAGGTATTTGGGAGCCAAACTCCACTTATTATAAATCTCAAATCATGGAGATGATCAGAAGGCACAACCTAATCTGTTGCAGGGAAAGAAGGTTTTTAGGCAGATCTAGGAATCTGCTTTTCACCATTCTGAATGAGGAAGGCCAAATAGATTACTATCAAATTATTTTAATGTTGGGTAACCCACTGGTTATTAATCATTACCATTCCTTCTTGCACCTTCACCCAAACTTGGTTCTGGTGACCCCATTCCGTTAGAAGGTGGGAAACTTTTTATGAACCCAAAGGAGGAAAAATCAGAAGTGGTTACTTCTGTAGACAGAAGAATTGAATTAGGGTGTGTGTGTGTGTGTGGGGGGGGGAGACAGAGAGAGAAAGGGAAATATAAAATGTTCACCTTAATAAGAAATATAAATTGTGATATAAATAAAAGTTTTTAAAAAGTATACTTTATTTTAATGTATCAGTCTAGACCTCTGTAAGAAAAATATGGTACAATCGAACTGAGTAACTATGGATGGCTTAATAAAATGACTACTATATCCAAAATATTAACATTTCAACATGTAGTTAATATAAAAATTATTAATGTTTATTTTTTCATATTAAGCTTTTGAAATATGTTGTGTGTATATTATACTTACCATACATCTTAGTCAAGACTAACTACATTTCAAGTACTCAACAGTCACATGTGACTAGCAGCTACCATACTGGACAGCACAGTTCTAAAAATACATTCAAAGCCAAAAGGACATAGGTAATAGTCCTTTGACTTTGTCTTGAGGGTGTTTTGTTTCTTTTTAAAAAAACAGCTATAGTTACTATAACTTTCTTGCTATTATTTATTATATATTAAGTTTAACATTGTTCTTAAATTCTAGTCCTGTATTTCACTTTATTTTTCAGGTTTTGTTGCCTTTTTTGTGAAGGCAGAGATGCCTGCTATTCAGGCAAACATGCCTGACCTTTGGAAAATTCAATCTGGATTCAAAATTAATACAACTAATTCTGATGCTTATATTTTAGTCAAAATGTATATTTGAATATTAAAATAAAGTAAATCTCTTAATAGTTCACAAAGCTTACCAAAAAATAGTAAAATCACTATTAAAATATATTCTCCTTTATTGTCAGTTTAAAAGATGAGCCAAATTTCATCCAAATTGGTCTGGTCCCTGTCTGATTCAGATTCTAATCGGTGTTATCTTGTTAAAACATGACAGTTGCTCCTAGTTAGCTGTGCTCATTAACCATATGTTTCAGTTTGTTAGTTTTAGTTTTAAAATTAATGATAACAACCTCAAAGTTTTAGTGGCTTACCATAATAAACATTGATTTTCTTGTTTATGGGTCTGCACGTCAGCTGGGTAGCTCTGTTATTAGGTGGTAGGTTCAGGCCTGCTACATGTGTCTCAGTGTCCTTGCCTGGTGGTTTCCTGAACCATGTTCTCATGCTGAATGGCAGGGGCACAAAAGACTGAGAGAAAACATAGAATACCTCTTAAGGCCTTGGCCAGGATGGCCCGTCACTCCCATCCACATTCTACAGACCAAAATAAGTCATATGACCAAGCCCAACATTAGCAAGTTGGAAAAAGACTGGGAAGAATGGCCAAGTCATATGGCAAAGGACATGGATGATTAATTCTAACGCAGAGGAGTGAAGCACAGGGCCCAGGTTTCAATCTACCACAGTGTCTCATTAACTAAAATGTAAAGTGTGTTTTCTGTAAATTAATCTACTTATCTTCCCAAGGAATAATATTTTAAAAACATGTCATTACTTCCAAAACGTCATGGACCTACAGCTTCTTTCCACTGCCTTAGTCTGGGTGCTCTGGAAGCTCCCACGTTAGCCTCACATTCTAAAATGGCAGATTTTCTGAGAGACCATGCATCTATTTATTGTCCTTAGTTTATATGTTTAGGACCATGTATAGTTAAATACCCAAGTTTCTATTTACACATGAATCTAATACAACGAAACACAACTGGTTTTATTACAAGTATAATGGATTTTTAAAAAATGGGGACAGGGGTAACTTCACAAGCCTTCTCTTTAGAAAAGTGGCATTTAAGACTACATGTGATAAAAGCATTGCTATACCTTTTGCATTTCTCTATTTTAAATAAATTTATAAATTTAAATCAATGATACAATGATGGCATCATCAGCATCTGAGTTGACTTTTTGTTTTTATGCCCCTTTTGTGTGTATGTTGAATAGCAGTGCTCACCAGTGAACATGACAAGTGTGATACAGTCACCTAAGAAACAACATAACTCCTTATAATCTAAGAAGAAGGGAAGAAAGTCTTGGGAGCTAGGTAGGGAATAGAGTGTAGTTAGGATGACCTAAACTGAACTCTACTTTTCCTCCTAAACCTGTCCCTCCTCCTGCATTTTATCATAATTAATACTACCACTGCCTCAAGTAACCAGGATCAGAATCAACTTAATAGGACCTACCCATTTTGCCTTTGCAACATTTTTCATTTTGACTCCCCTTCCCAATCTTGTTATCACCCCAGTAAAGACCTGTTACCAGGAATGATGGTCTTGTTGCCAATCTATCACCGCCACATTAATCTTTATAAAAAGCAGACCTAATCACACTGCTCCCCAACTCAAACTGTTGGTGGTTTTCCTCTCCGCCATCCCAGTCTTTTGATCCGTGCCCGATTCTCCACCCACCACTGTTCAGGTGCTATGTTTTCAACTTGGAATACTTTGTCCCACCCTACCTTCAAAGTTCAGCTCAGATGCTCCTGCAGTGACGTCTTCTCCAAATCTCCAAGTCAGAACAAATTGCTTCTTCCCTTTGCTCCCACAGCCCTTTGTCTAGGTCCCCAGTAGAACACTGAGACCATTCTATTCAGTGTCTGGGTTATGCTCCCTGAGGGTGAGATATGTGACTCATTTCATTCGGAACAGCTGGGCTCAGGGGCATTTTAGGAGGAAC